CAAACTAATCAATTCATCGTCAGTCAGTAATATAACCAGAAATTGTAAACCACAGGTAAGCAACCTTCACGTCTATTATCTTTAAACAAGTAAAAGAACTTCTATGTTCTTCAAAACAAAGAAACGAATATTGGAATGCTGTCAAGTATTTGGGTAAATTAAAATTTTGATAGTTATAAAAGATTTGGGGTATCAGGAGAATCCAGAACTCCTGTTTCATCCTATTTGGGACTTACCAGCTGGATTTACTCAACAACTTAACAAGTATGATTTAAAATGTGTTTCTAATCCTTCAAAGGGAAATATCTAATGCCTAATCTAGGCTAATAATCGGAAGGAAGATATTTAATTGAGTTAACAAACTGCTCTTTTCTTTATGATTTATAGTCTACGACACTGATGAGTTCATTACTTTTATATTATAAAATGAGTTATACTTTCAAAAAACGTTACACTTTCTTATACACCTTTGAATTTTTTTATTGCTTATTTGATAACGCTCATGCCAAGTAATTCAAAATGGGAACCTCAGTGATGCCTTTGAAGTGAAGACAGGAGTAAAACAAGGCTGTCTAATATCAGCCATGATATTCCTGATTGTGGTCGACTGGATCATACAGCAAACAGTGATGAGCGAGAAGAGGGGGATACGCTGGACCAGGGAAAAGAACCAGAAGATTTGGATTTGGCCGACGATTTGTGTACAATGTCACACAAAAATCAAAGATCTACAGGCGAAAACCAACAAGTTGACAGAGGAAGCGAGGCAGCAAAAACGGAACTTCAAGTGAATGTAGAGAAGACAGAGGTGATGAAGATACCCAAGCAACGCCACCACCACCAACAACAAACACCCATCACCATCAACTGGAGAAACCTAAAGAAAGTAGCCTCTTTCACCTACCTAAGCAGTGTAGCATCGTTTCAACTGCAGGCGGCACAGACAAGGACGTCAAAGCCAGCCAGGATTGGAAAAGCAAGACTGGCGTTCATTAACCTGAAACCAGTGTGGAGATCTGCACTGCACTCAGCATAAAGAACAAGATCCGTATTTTCAACACCAATCCAGTCAAGTCATTGCTGCCATATGGTTCAAAAACTTGGCGTGTCACGAAAAGCATTTCCCACAAACTGCAGGTATTCATCAACAACTGGCACCTACGCTGGCTTGTTACTGAAGGTCAGATGGCCAGAAATAATAAGCAAGAAGGAACTCTGGCTGGCAAGGAATCAACCAAGAAGCTATCGCCCAACAAATATGCAGAAGGAGGTGGAGATGGATTGGGCATGCATTGAGAAGGCTGATTGAGGACATCATGCGTCAGGCACTCGAGTGGAACCCAGATGGGAACCGGCGAGTTGGGCGTCTTAGGTGAGGGTGACATGGAGGAGATCATGTGAGGAAGAAATGTAAGCTTGTGGGCAGTGGTTGAACCAGGTTCAAAAGATTGCAAAGAAGAGAGTGGAATGGCTACTTGGTACTGAATCTCTATGTTTTACTGGGAACCCAAGTGACAAATAATAAATAATCATAACTGGATAACGCTCTGTCGTTTTAAGTGAAGGATACTGGGTTTGATTCTTACTGGGAACAACATCACCCATTGGAGTTCAGGTACATCCCTCTGACGAGTCCGAAACAGGATGAAATTCACTTCCTGGATTCCTTTGCTAGTCAACAAGATCAATATATGCTAGAAATAAATTATTCTTGATAAATTGATATCAAACTTTTAAGAAATTTGATATTTCTTTTTGAATGGTTATTGTAGGCATGATGATGGTAAAGTGTTCCTTATTCTTCGATATTTTCTTGTAAATGTCTTGCCATCATAATTAACAATAACTTCACACAGAAACTTCTTTCTGTGATAAAATATTAGAGTTGTGAGAACATAAGAAAAATCTTCATTTACACCCTGAGCTAAAAACCCTATCTTCTGCAGTTTCAAAATATATTAGTTATATTTTAGCTTCAGACCTAGGTTTCTTGCTTGTTGGCAGTCATCAACAAGGCATCTCTACAATTTTCAGGGAACTGATGACTTCTTTGACATTCGAATTCATATCGATTGCTTACAACTGACTGATGTCTGTCAGAGTGCATCGCAGTGATGAGTTTCCTAGCTTGGTGTTTGGATTGCAAAATGGTCAATAGAATTTAATCAGTCCTAGGTACTAGACAACATTAGTCACTCCTCAGTGACCAGTCTAATATATTCACATTTTGCAATCACTTTTCAGATGTATTTTAGGAAGGATCGTATAATGAAATGTAAAGCATGAGAATTGAATGTTTTGCCATAAATAGATGTAGAGAAATTATGGAAAGGAATCATGAATAACTTTCAGATGCGAAAATTAGAATAAAACTGAGTTATGAGACAATAACCCTTCACTCCTTTGTAATAATAATAATAATAATATAACTCGGAGTAGTATATGTTATGTACTAGGTAATAAACCTCGCTTGTTGTTTAAGGTATTATAATACCATCTGATTATCGAAGCTAGAGTATTTTATGGTAATATCTATTTTGAGCAAATTAATTAAAAATGTAATCAAACTGCGAATGCTGATTGAGTCAGAAACAACTCATACGTCATATTCAATTAAAGAAGAGACTTTGAATTTATGCTGAAAAACTCATTCACAGTGACTAGATAAATGAAGTTACTTAACTGAAAAATTGTCCACTGCTGCTTGTGCGTATATGAATTTATAAATTTATGTTTACTCATTGATAAGTTCGTCATTCTTAGATCACAATTCGTTTAACTTTTCGTCTTAAACTAGATCAGAGAGTGTCACTGTGTAATGCAGAGTTCCAGATAACCTTCACTGTCTAACGATAGCTGTTAATAACTTTTATTTATTTCAACTTCTTCTGTGTAGCTACTGAATCAATTAGTGACTTTGGGGAAAACTAGGAGAGGAAAATCACGTTTGCATAAACTCATGTCAGTCAGATAGACAAAATCACCAAGAGCTCTCAACCTGTCATCTCAGGTATCCCAGACTGGCAGTCTACATCTCCAAACACGGCTCAAACTAATAGTCTGGATTTCATGGACTGTTGCTGCGTCTTGGTCTGGTCACTCTGAACTCTTTTCCAACCTGATCTGAATTCCTCTAGCATGGCATGTTGATGTAGGCGTGGATTGGAATAAGCAGTACATGCCCAAGCTATCTCCGTCTATTCAGGTTTACAACATCATTAATTCACTTCGCTGTCGTGCCTAATACTCTTCGCCTGACCTCAGTGTTGGTCACAGTGTAATTTCACTAAACGTGAACAGTGCTGTGAAGACATCTATAATCAAAACCCTTTAACTAGTTCATTCCTTCTACTTTTAACATCCATGTTTCATAGCCGTGTAACAGGATACAATAGACTCCGGTGGCGTGGTATACTCGTTCTTTGATTGATAGCCTAATGTCTTGCTAGTTGTCACTACAGAGGATGCAAGCTGAAAAATGCTAGACGGGCCTTCCATATCCGAGTTAAGATTTCATCAGAAATCAGCGCGTTTGGGCTGATGCAACTCCTGAATTAAATGGGGTGGTCGACACATACTACCACTTAGTTCCCAATCATTAAATTAAGAATGGTTACAGACTAGTCTTGGAGAGCGATGTCGATACCAGTGTATATTATAAATGGTAAATTGAAAAGGTGTAACACATTTCTTGATAACGCTGTCATCTTTTTGATGTGAATACATAGTGTGATTTCATATTCGTCGTCTGGTAAGCCTTAATTATCATTTGGAATACATATTGTCAAGGTACATAAATATCAACTATTGATTCCAAGGTATTGGGTGTGGTAAAAATACATTTTTACTAGTCAAGCGACATAAGAAGAGCTGTCATATTCCTATGTTTTCTAATTCAAAAATGTATTTCAAGAATCATTTTGATGACACTTAGTGTTTTGCAAGTAGGTTGAGTCCGGCAAACTCTGAAAGTCATCTCCTTAATATTAAAACACTTCTAGAAGTAGTTTTTCAGCCTTTCCTTTAAAGCCTGAATTTAATTTGATGTTCTATGGTAGCATTGGAGTTTGTTTGACTTTTTAAGTTAACACTTATAGCAAGAAGTAATAAGATGAATTGTTGAGATAAGAAGAAAAACAAGACGTTTACTGATGCATTGACTTCATTGTGGCTTGCAGAGGAATCCAGTACTCGAACCTCGTACCAATTGCTTCAAATGTCAAAGCGTTATCCACTAGGCCACCGAGGAGGGGTAGCCACCTGTTTTATAACGGGTAGCAGTTGTTACTATTTGCTGATATACTTGCAATTTTCGTTGTTATGCTGGATCTGATTGTTCGACCCCTATTGCAAAACGGGCTCATATGCGGACGCCTCGATATTGCCTGAATACTTATAATGATAATGTGGTTGGTTGTTGCCATGCGGAGGAAAGCAAGATGCGCATTTAGGCCCATTTGAGGCTCGTCAGCTAGATTTACCTGCACCCCAGTGAGTAATGTTATTCCCACTAATCACTTCAAACGCCACACCGTTATCCACTAGACCACCAAGTCACGGTAGGCTATATGTCAATAAACGTGGGAAAATTCAATCTAGTGAAATGACAGAAAACTACAAGCATATCAACAAATAATAGTTTTCTGATACAGTTTGAATGAAAGCAATAGCCATACTGCCTTCTTTGAAGTTTATATTGTGTCAAAAGGTGAATACAATGTTTTGAATGGAACATTTTAAGGACACATGTTTTCTTGATTATACAGTATTGAGTAGTTACCGGTTACCTATAACGAAGCAGATGTCCAGTGGACCAAGGTTCTCAATGGTTCCCTTGATTATGCTAGTCCATGATGAATAGCATCTTGACACTGATCAGTCTCAGCTAACCACTATCTAGTATTCAATTAGTGACATGACTTCAAGTTTTCAATTAATGTCACTTCATGAAGAACACCACAATATAAATATATAAACTAAACAACTGATTGTACACTTACCGCAGACACTATTCTCATCTCGATCTTTAGCACATACAATAAATGTGTGATTTCCAACATGATCTGCTAACGGTTTAAGTCGTATAATTTGATTTTTTGTATCAAATGATACCCATTGTTTTGTATCACGAGTAATTTCTTCACCTATAGCTTTATTTAAGTTTTCCATAGATTTGAGTTCAATGTATGATATATTATCTTGATTTGAAGCATATAAAGTAAGTTTTAAGTTCTGTGTATAACCATCCTGTAGATCATAAAATGTATTCTGTGGTATTTGAACATTAGATATTTGATAGACAGTTGTTTTTATTGGTGTAATATAATTTTTAACTCTTGGTATATTAGAATGAATTATATTAGAATTGGAATGTTCAAGATAGGATCGATAATCCATTTTTGGAAATTTATGAAGAGATGCTATACCAGAACCTTCTTCTAAGTATCCTGCTTCACGTGATGACAAAGCAGATCTTGTGGTCAATGTTCTCCGAATGTTTTCATTGTTCGATTGTAGTGATTCATTGAATGAACTCTGAATAAGATCGCCAACAATCCATTTAATTACCTGATGAAATGTTTGGAAATAAGATAATATATGAGATGAAAACATTGTAGTCGTGAATAAATGCAGTTAACTAAAACTTACTGTCTTTCTGTACTAATTTAACGATTGGGAGTCACAGAGGTCAAGACATACCACCTTGTATAGCAACGGGAAATCCCAAGTATCGTAACAAGAAGTGATACCCGTTGCACAAGAGGTGGCTGTCGCACTCCAGTGGCCTAGTGGGTAACGCTCTGGAGTCCAAGGCGAAGGGTAGTGGGTTCGAGCCTCAGTGGGGAAAACATCACTCAGGTACATCCAGCGGGTGAGTCCTGAATAGGACAAAATGGACATCCTGGATCCCTCTACTAGTCACTCAGATCGATATAGAGCCAGTGAGTTGTATTCACGAAGTGTATTGTCTTTAAGAAAACCGGTGAGAACTTCAAAATAATAAATATCTATTTTAATAACATGTAGGACTTCACAGTAAAACAATTTCCATCCCTCCAGCGTATACCTGCTTTGACATACACCTTAGATAAAAAAAATTTCTCTTATATATTAAATATAATTGAGGTGTTTGAAAGTTAGTGTCCTTTATCTTCTTCACATAAATCAGTCAACATCGATGTTTTCATGAAGAGTAATATTACAGAATTATGAATTCCTTGTTACTTAGATGGCTTGATCTATAACAGGCGCCAATAGTTTGTTGACACAACTTTCTAGTCTTCAAGTCAAAAGAAGTTTTTATTCAATAAAATAGACAGTAGACTAATCAGTCATTGTTTTACAACAAATTTTATTTTATATGTGTGTGGTAAACATCTATACATCTTTGAATGTTACATAATTTAAGGATATATAGAAAGTTATTATTCTGATTATAATGTAGAAATAAGATTTTTATTTTTGTATACATTACCTAATTGTATATTTACGCAATATTTAATAGATTATTTTTTAAAACAAACAAATCTGGTAACTTCTTTTTTATTGAAAATTACCTTACCAAAATTTAACCTATAACATTTTTATTACTAAATTTTTTCTATTTTATAAAATAAAAATTGTATAATTCATAAAATGGAAGCATTCCATTAGATTAAACTAAATAGATATAAAATTATTGGACGCCATTTCTATTGTCTAAGAATTAGATGAATTCTGTCGGAAGTGCAACATAGACGTGTAGAAATTTATTCATTAAACAAGTATAAAGTTAAGTAATATTCGTGAAATGGGGAAAAATTATTTAAAAATGTTATATAACTTCATCGACTTTGTAAAAGGCCTTCGACAGCTTTGATTAAGAAGTAGTTTGGCAGGCAGCCGTTTTAACACTACTGTTTTAGTGCCACAAACATTCATCAACCTCATTCTACAACTATATGAAGACGCCACATACCAAGTAATTCAAAATGAAGAGCTCAGTGATGCCTTTGAAGTAAAGAAAAGTGTAAGACAAGACTATCTACTATCACCTATGATATTCCTGATTGTAGTCGACTGGATCATGCAGTAAACCGTCAGGAGCGAGAAGAAGGGGATACGCTGGACCAGGGAAAAGATCCTGGAAGATTTGGATTTCACCAGCGATGATGATTTACGTCTAATGTCATATGTCGCTCAAACTCAAACACCTACAGACGAAAACCAACAAGTTGACAGGGGAGGTGAGACAGCTAAGACGGAACTTCAAGTGAATGTAGAGAAGATAGGTGAAGAAGATACCCAATAAACAACAAGATCAGCAACAGGCATCAATCACTATCAACGAGAGAAACCTAAAGGAAGTTGTCTTTTTCACCTATTCAGGTAATACAGCATCGTTTCAACTACAGGTGGCACAGGAATAGATGAGGATGTCAAAACCAGGATCGAAAAGACAGCAAGACAGACCCTCATTAATCTGAAATCAGTATGGAGATCTACTGTACTGCACACAGCATAAAGCGTGAACAAGATCCGGATTTTAAACACCAATTCAGTCAAGTCAGTGCATCTGTGTGATGTTTAGGAGACTTGGCACGTCACCAAAAGCATTACCAACAAACCACAGACATTCATCAACAGCTGCCGCCTACGCTCACTCGTTACTGAAGATCAGGTGGATGGCCAGAATAATAAGAATAAGCAGGTAGGAACTCACTATGGCTGGCAATGAACCAACTAAGAAGCTATCACCCAACAAATATGCAAAAGAATAGTGTGGAGATGAATTGAATTGGATTGGATTAGTCATAGACTGAGAAGACCGATTGGGGACATCACGTGTCAGGCCATGCCAGACCGTCGAGTCGAACCCGAATGAGAAACGATGAGTTTGGTGTGTGAGCGGAGGATGACATGGAGGCGATTGTGTGGAGAAGGAATGGAAGCTTGTTGGGAGTCGTGTAGCTGGGTTGGGAAGACTGTATAGAAGAGAGTGAGATGGTGAGGTGCTACTGAAGCCATATGTGTGACTGGGAACCCAAAGGAGGAATGATAATAATGATAATAAATAGTCAGTGTGTGTAAGATAGATGATTTGTTGTTCAAATTGAGTAATTATAATTAGTCATTACAAGTTTACATTTCTTATTGTTAAATAGCAACGAAAAATGTACGAGAATCTAAAAGTGTGTACCAGCGTGTACGTATATTGTCAAATATGTAAGTGTACTGTTTGCTGTACTTGTACAAAACCACTTTCTCATTGATGAACAATTGGTAAAAATCATTTTTTTTAAAGATTTAATTAGAAGAAAAATCAACATTAATGTCTTTGTCGGAATCAAAATCAAGCATATGCCAATTTTCGATTGTTTGTAGTACTATTTCTTGTCACTTTTCAAAATATTTGGGTTCATCTCAATTTTTCGATGGACATTTCGTGCATAAACTTTTCTCAGTCACCTTCATCTTTAAGGATCTATAACTTTCTGCATTATAACTAGCCTTGTATTCTATACATTCAGTTTTGTAGACCTGGATGTTCTGTATCATCCTAGGAACTCTATCATGCATTCTAACTAAAACCTCTTCCCATGAATTTAAAGGTTTAAACTAGACTTTAATACAATGAACTGCCAACACTGGGAACTGAAATTTTAGTCTCCAGGTCTTACGAAGATCACATTAATCATTTAGCCAATAAATTAGAGTTCAGTAGTCTACAGTTTCGTACTTCTGTTACTTTGCGATATATGTGAAGGCTATCCACTAAGGTTTTCAGTTGCCTTCCACTGCACAGAGCTTGGTGGATAATAGCACTATGTGGTGAATGGAAAGAAGCAGGAAGAAGTGGATCACTGAATTCCAACCTATTGATTAAATGGAAGATGCATTCACAGCCAAAGCTGAAGGTCCAGACTTCGATCCATTGTGAAGTCAAGTGTACATATTGTCTAGGCTTCATATACTAGGACGAAACAGGTGTCCAGTGCTCCCATGCTTTCAGTCTTGTTCCACTTGCACCAGTTCATAATAAAATACTACCATAAAAATGGAATCCCTATAGAATGCAGACCTTCTGCAATAGTGATGTGAGTATGTCCGCTGATGTCTCTGCATCTGTTTTCAGTGCTTCTAGCGGAATTCCATCTGGTCCTCCTGCTTTCATAAATTTCGGCAGTTTTATGGCATTCACCACTTCTGCTTTTGTAGGAAGGCTTGTGTTTACTTGTAGTTCTGCCGTTGCTGGTGATATTTCTGGACGACTGGCAGATGGTGGTGGTGGTCGATTCAAGAGTTTTTTTGAAGTGGTCAGCCCACTGTTCCCTTTGTTTTTCTTCTTTGGTAACTCGCTTTCTTTCACTATCAGTCATTGGTTTCATCTGAGTTGATCTCTTCCCTCCCAGATAGTAACCTGGTTATTTGATACAATGTCGTCAGGTCTGTGTCTCTCCTACCTGTGGCCTGTTCTGCTTCAATTGCCAGTGTGTCGTGGAAGTGTATTTTGTCTTTGTGTGCACTCTTCTTGACTTGTTTGTCCAATGTAGTGTTTTATATGTTATGTTCAGTTCCTCTTTCCGTCGTCCATCTGTGCACTGGTTCATATTCCGATTCACCATTACCATCTTTCTCTTCTTCCTTTATCACCTTCCATGTCGAGATCAGTGGAGATCCATTCCTTGTCTAGTCTTGTTTCTTCTTCCTTCCTAATACGGTCATGCAGGTTTCTTTCCACACCTCTTTCAAAGAGTTCCAGTGATCTTTCAAGCAGGTTTCCTCAGGGATGTTGCATAATGTCTTCCATCTTTTCCTGATAAAGGGTGACCTAAGTCTTTGCAGGAGCTGGATGCTTATAATCTTACTTTTTCTTATGAGCTGAAGTTTTGTTCGATTCTCACTGGAGACATAGGTCAAATATGATGCATGTGCTTGATAATCATCTACAAAGATTTTATGTTTCCTTTGGTGTAGGTTTTTTTTCCGGTAATAAGTTAATCATTCTACAGAAAATTAAATTGAAATTAACTAATCTTTCTCACAGCTGAAATACACTGGTTAATTAGCAAATGTGTATCGACTAAACAATGAAGAAGTCGACAAGTAACACTAAGTATTTTATTTCTCCTATTGTACCTAGTCACTTGTGAAATTGATGACTGTAAAAGTTAACCGATTACTTTCAAATAGAAACACAAACCAGTCTAGGCTAAAAGAGAACTAACTGAAATTCATTTGATTAGAGGGTGTTATACTCCTCCGGATTATTAAGTTAAAACATTTTAATAATATTAATGTAATTTTCGGCAGGATCATTCTGAGTTAACTATCAAGAAAAAGGCTATTAAGCATTTTAGGTAATTTAGACGCCCCCGTAGACTACTCAGAAGGAGAGTATTTTCAGTGAATAATTGTTGATAATAGCTTTAATAGAGTAGGAGTAATGATTAGTCGGAATAAAATGGTACCGTTTTATTTCTTTCGCCGGTTTCTCATCAACTGTTTACAATTTGAAGACATTTAAACATCATATTACAAAGGAACTAGGACATACAACTTTACTTGAATCTGCTCCAGGAGTTACATCTGGTGGATGAAAAACAGGGCATATCTTAGATTCTTTGAACTTTTGCCGAAATCCTTTTCTGTCAGTGGTGCAGTCACTTGGAATCTTATCGACACGGAGCATGTAATACATATCTGAGACTTCTTTAAAGTAGTCAACGAGCAACGTAATTCAGACCTTGTCAAGTTCACTGAGGTTGTGCTCAGTGCTCAGGCAACTGCAACAGAAACTATGTATTCAAAAAGAAGCATTCATAAGTTTTTATTTGGCCTAGTTAACCTTCTATTCTACGCTCCCTCTTATTTGATTACGTGACCCTATGTATGAATATTTTTTCTGTTCGTACGTAATTCTGATGGTCTAACTCATTTTATTACTACGTAATTTGTCTGTTCACTATCATCCTTTTTAGCCAACTTTTGCCAATTTGCGCCACCTATGGCGTCGCCATGAAATCCGTTTGTCTATTCAGGGTCGTGTGTACTGCATAGCAGTCCGCTCTGTTCTACTGTATGGCTGTGAAACATGGCCATTGAAAGTGGAGGATACAAAAAGGCTTCAGGTGTTTGACCACTGTTGCCTCCGTAGTATAGGACGTATCCCGTGGTGTCACCATGTGAGTAATGCAGGAGTTAGGTGTAGAGTTTTAGGGAGAAGAGGTAAGTCAGTCGACGAGGTTGTGAACCTTCATCGACTGAGATGGTTGGGACACGTACTACGTATGCCTAGTCACCGATTGCCTTGTCACACAATGTTGGCTGAGGTGGGTCCAGGCTGGAAAAAGGCTCGAGGTGGCCAGACTAAAACATGGCATCCATCAATATATGAAGTCTCTGACTGTTGGTTTAAGCCATGTAGGACGATGCAGACTAGGTGGTTGGGGTCCACGGGACAAGAGGAACCAGTGGTTGGAGACCCTATGTGATATGGCTGAGAACCGATGCCAGTGGCGCCGATGTATACACACATTATCCTCATCTTAACAATGCTATACCGAATCTCACCATTTTGTCACTCCTCTTTCCTTTCTTCTCGTACTTTATATTTCTTTTGACTGCATTTGCTTATCTTCATCCTTCACCTCACTACCTTTTTACTTGATGTGCTGATATGAGGTGTGGTGGGAAGTCGGACCGTTACGCAGTAATGCCTAGTCCTATGTTGATAATGATGATGATTTTAGCCAACTTGGTAATCTTATTAAGTAATCTTTTTTACTATTCATGTTCTTTCCTTGAACTCTCTATTGAAACATATAAATATCTGAAAAGTTATAATATGTTTTGTTAACTTTATCTAGATGTTTGTATTTGTTGTTAAGCCATGGTGTTTCCTGTGAACTAATTTCATGTGACTGCAGCAAAGCATGTTCTCATTCTTTTTAATATATTTTAGTGTTTTTGAGTTATAAGCAGCTGACGAGAGACCGACTAAATAGAATGGCACCATGTTATTCTGCTCCAAACTTTGTTCGTTCTCTTATCAACATTTAGAAAAGAGAATATGCTTCCAGTCACTTCTACATGTTCTTGTTTTGTAACCATAATTAATAGTTGAAAAAATTTCATGTGTTATTGGTTTTAGAGCTTTGGATTACGAAACAAAAGGGAAAAAAAATGATGATCTAACATAAAGGTAGCAATTAAGAGGCAAATATCTCGAGCGTTGCGCACCAGTATGACTGTATGAGAATAGGAAAAAGAAAGGCTCATATCAGAAGAACATACGAAATCACTGAATAACGAACGACTTTTTATATTTCAAGTTGTTATTCATTGTAGACTGACATCAGTTGGAGGAACAAAGGAAACCTGGGAGCACTGGACAGCTGTTTCATCCTAGTATGGGACTCCTCAGCAGTGCGCACCCACGACCCCATACTAAGACGAAACAGCTGTTCAGTGCTCCCAGGTTTCCTTTGTTCCTCCAACTGATGTCAGTCTACAATGAATAACAACTTGAAATAATTCCAAATCTCCACAACTCCCTCAAAAGACTTTTTATATATTTTGTTCTTTTGACGAATTCAAACAAAGCAAGAATAAACAGACTTTTGCATAATGCAACAACACAACTTCATTTCGTGAATGTCCATCACCGGCATAGAAGGAAAAATATAAAGGAGTTACTTTAGCTTTCAAATACATAACATGTCCTAAGCTGTTATTATTTATAAATACTTGTAATTCTCCACTATTATACCTGATCAAGTTGGTTGACCTTCATTAGCAGATGGGTTCTAATCGGATGCTCTGATACTGCCCGAATATTCATTTAATGGCAGTTTACTTGCTGGCTAACAGTGGGATCTAGGATGTACGTTCTGTTCTATTCAAGACCCATCATCTTGATGTACCCAGCCTATATCCATTACAACTAAAACTGTCTATTTCCTCAGTAGTCAGAAGTCAACTGTTTCTGAGTAGTGTAATCTCGAGATAGACACTGAAATATACTCCGAGCTATTAAATAAGAAAAATACCGCTCATTTATAGCTACGAATAAAGTCGGCTTCATGTCAGGCTCACAGACGCTTGAAGTGTAATGAAAGCTACTTATGAGAATGCATATAAGTAATAAATCGCACAACATTCAGAAACGCAAGCAGTAGTAACAGTTGGCTGGTAAATATTCTGAAGAAAAGTAATAAAAAGTAAGTGATAGAAATGTGGTGAACAAGATTATTTCACACTGTAATGTCAAACAAGGATACTGTTTGCACATGTGACTTTAAGATAAGGTTGAATATTTTTATCATAACTACAAGATTTCTCTTCAAAAGTATTTTACAGACAAATTTCCGTACATTGAATGATTAGTTAGCCAAGGAAACTTTTTTGTCACGTATCATCATTTAAGCGTGTAAAGCCATTGGAAAATATAATTCGGAAAATATAATCAAATAAAAAAAATTAGGAAATAAATCTTACCGTAATCTTTTTTAGGTTTTTCGATGGAATAAACTTTGAACTATCAATTAGCGTCCACAATGGTACTGAACCTGTTTGAAATTTCTTCTCTAGAATAGTTAACACCTTTAAAAGATAGTCAGGTATAATACCACATCCAATATGTTGTATGCTAACCACATATGATTCGGTTGTTTCAAAATTCATGATATCACTTCTAGCTTTAGCACTGGCAAGTATAGATAGTTTCCTAAGTGAAATTGAAATGGTTAAACAATGGAATTACATTAATAAAAAAGTGATATCTGTTCAAAACTAATTCTTTGTTAATTTTTGACATAAATAAAAATAAAGCAGAGAGTATTATTGAATTGTCTAGTTGGAGGCCGATCACTTCTAAAGCTTCTGGTAAAGTTGAATTTCAATGTGTACATGTCCAATAACTTACCCATTTTATAAGAGTTAGGCTATTGGCATATATTGTTCGTGTAGGTAAGTGTGGCATAAAATGAATTTCAACAGTCTTCAAAAGTATTTTGCTGTTATAATTACTTCAAAATTTAACTCAGAGAAAAACTGAATCGGAAAGCTTTGACTGGTTTCAATGTTGTATAAAACACCGATTGATAAGTTCTATACAGACAATGAGTTCAAAGTAAGCCAGTGCGCGTATCTAGAATTTCACAGCTGGTTAACACCAGGTAAATTACACTAGGATGTCTATGCTTCCACATAAAAGAAACCATACCGGTAGTGGAATTTAAAGAATAAACAAATGACTGAGAGATTAATTCATTTACCTTGAAACTACTGCTTAAGTTGAAGGAATGGAATCATATAAAAGTGAGGACAAGTTTCATCTTTTGTTCCTAAGTTTCCCATTTATGCTAAATAATACTCCTATTGGTGGCGTTATATCCACTGAACTGAAACGTCTTTGCAGGAAGCATCCATTATAGTTCTAAACAACATTATCACAACAAATTTCAGAAAGAAGTGAGATAAACGATTCTCTCCACAGATGCCTCATCACTTGTCCTAATGATCTCACCAATCATTAGCCATCAACATCTAAATCCCTTCAATACATCCACACATATTCTTATCGACTGTCTGATAATCTCAACTCTGAATACCTCATTGTTTCTCGTGTTTCCTACTGGTTGATAGATCGAGTCAATGTCAATATTTTCATTGTTTGCTAGCTAACTGATGTGAGTACCGAGTTTCTAAACATTCTCTGAAATTCTTTGTATTTCCTCTATCCAAGATATTCGTATTTTCTCAATCGAATTCATGTTAACAATCGTCTGTGTGGAGTGATTTGAATGAAGATCTATTGTGATGCGCCTCTGCTAGCTTATGTTCCTACGGTTTCTGTAGTTTATTTTGTAGACAACCATGAGTTTGTATTCCCTCAAGATTATTCCTTAAATATGTCATGAAAAAGATTTTACAGGTTTGTTAGCTACGGTGATTCCCAAAAGACTCAGTAATATAGTAGCAATCCTACAGACTTTCTCCACCTAAGTTAAGACTGATCATAATTTGATTTTCAAGGTTGACTGACATTTTGGGTTAGAATGAATTTGATAGACATATTTTAATGAACTTGCATGGATAGCCATTCATCGAAAAGGCAATTAGTCTTTAAGTAGTTTTCTTATTTTTCTCATTAACGTTGATATATTACAGTGATTTCGCTCTTTTGAACAGTATTTTCACAAAAATGATTTTCTGTGTTTTGGTTCATTTGAGTAGGTCTTCAGCAAACTTGAGTGTTCCACTTTCCCATATTTATCTCTGTGCTTGAAAATCATAGAATGCAAATCTGTTGTACACTCTACTTCAAATGGAAATTTTATATCATCAGAAATGCTACTGATAAGTTTGAAAGTGTTTTCCAATTAGCATACACTGACAACCAGAGATATGTCATCCACATGTCGGGTCCAGCGTTTTAGTCGTCATTTCCACACTGATTTAAGATTGATGAACGAAGGCCTGTCTTGCTATCTTTCCGATCCTGGCTGGTCTTGACATCCTCACCTGCGGCACCGCCTTTACCTGTAGTTGAGAAGACGCTGCCTAGATAGGTGGGTAGGTGAAAGAGACAACCTCCTTCAGATTCCTCCTTTTGATGGTGACTGGTGCTTGTTGTTGTTGGTTGAGTTGAGTATCTTCATCACCTCTGTCTTCTCTACGTTCACCTGGAGGAAGTCCCGTCTTCTTTCGCTGCCTCATCTCGCCTCACCTCTTCTGTCAACTTGTTGGTTTTTGCCTGTAAATCTTCGAGTTTGTGCCACATAAGACATTAAACACAAATCATCATCGTTGGCGAAATCCATATCTTCCAGAGTCTTTTCGTTATTCACACAGCGTATGCTTATCTTCTCACAGCACCTCACGGTTTGTTGCATTATCCGGTCGACCACAATCAGGAAGACCATTGGTAATAGTGGGCGGAGACTTTGTCTTACTCCTTCCTGTCTTCTCTTTAAAGGCATTGTCACGAAGCTTTCCATTGTGAATCACTTGGCATGTAGTATTATTCTTATGGCATATAGCTACTGAATGAGGTTGATGAATGTTTGTGGCAGCAAAACCGTGGAGCAGCTGCTAAATCACTCCCCGGTGGCGCCTTACAGAATCCTCAACATTAACTTCAAAAAGAATTTATACAATCTGACTGGTTTTCGTTTTGTCTCCCTGTGCAGTTCGCTACTGTATTGGAAATATGTTATGAGATTTAAGTAGGTTCATTCAGTCATACTTAAATATTATAACAGTATTTCCAGCAAGAAATATGTATTATTGCCGAAGAGAAGCTACATTTCATTCTTATTTATTTTAGTTCAGTCGGGGTGTAAATAGCCGGAACAATGGAGGGCATTCCTAAAGTTCTACAAATAGTGTCCAAAAATTCAAGCACTGGTAAAACGACTCCATAAGATGCTTCAATTTCCTGATGAGTTCTTGCAACAGAATGTATACTAGAGTCCATAGAAGTAAACCAATCGATCTTAAAGCAACATTTGACCTATACATTTTTGGTCGTCTACAGAAAAATGAAAGAACAGGTGGTTTTTGATTCTTCGTCGTTGTCATTTCGTAATTTGTCTTACGTTTGCAAACTTGTTTAAGTCCTTGGTAATCTTAGTGTCAACATTTTGAGTAGGATTTCTCTCATTTGGTTGGTTTACATTTCGTTTAACATAGGCTAGTAGTGGAGCAAAATCATGTATCTTCGCTCATATCAACGCAAAAAGATAATTATAAACATGAATTCGATTGAGAAAATACGAATATCTTGGATAGAGGAAATACAAAGAATTTCAGAGAATGTTTAGAAACTCGGTACTCACATCAGTTAGCTAGCAAACAATGAAAATATTGACATTGACTCGATCTATCAACCAGTAGGAAACACGAGAAACAATGAGGTATTCAGAGTTGAGATTATCAGACAGTCGATAAGAATATGTGTGGATGTATTGAAGGATTTAGACGTTGATGGCTAATGATTGGTGAGATCATTAGGACAAGTGATGAGGCATCTGTGGAGAGAATCGTATATCTCACTTCTTTCTGAAATTTGTTGTGATAATGTTGTTTAGAACTATAATGGATGCTTCCTGCAAAGACGTTTCAGTTCAGTGGATATAATGCCACCAATAGAAGTATTATTTAACATAAACGTGAACTTTAGGCACTACGATGATTAGTGATACTATATTATTTACTTGATAACGTTAAGATAGAAGAATGATTTCAGTCACTAACGATCATTCACATTTCTAGAGTGTAAAAATTTAGATCAAGTTAGAATGAATGACTTCAATAAGTCATATTACTCAGAAAAACTCAGCTACTGCATAGTATGTGCCATCTGCTATTCACAGGGTACAGCAGTGCATAATAACAATCCGAAGGACCAATATATCTCTGTTGAAGTTATCTTCTGATTAGTGAATCACCTTTCATAAAGTCAACGCTGAACAAATGTAGTAAGAATGATACAACAGGTAGTGTTCGAACAGTATAACCAAGAAAATGACAAGTGGTACACGTATTTAAAAGCATCAGTCATTAGTAATCCTGCGATTATTTGAATGTGATTAAAAAACAACTTAGTGTGCTGAAGCTTTCTTCAGTAACAATGAAACCGACTCGTTTCAGATGTATCCAAGCCTCATGAATGTTCTTTCTTTCAAGTATAAAAGAAATATCTCAGTGAATATATGTTTCGAAAATCTCAGGAAATCTTTATAATGCTATGCAATTTAGCAAAATGATGATAATGGGGAAACAGGCTAAGAACCAACAGATTGATTTACAAAAAACTTTGTAGGTTGAAAGATCCTATTGATCCAAATAGACGAAATAATTTAGTTTACCGAATCTTTCACAATGATTTCGAGATCAAATAGATACGTCAAATTGGTCGGCCAGAGTCAGTTAGAATAACAGAGCCCTAAAACCTAGCTAAATCAAGATTAATCTTAATAAGATAAGTAAGCCAGAGAAAAGCTCGGTTATAGCTGTGCATGAAACAAGACACAATCACACAGTAGGATGGGATAGAGTGTCAGTATTATAAAATTAGTTGGGTGGGGAGATAGATTGTTGAGCGAATCTTTGACCATCGAATTAACACCAAATAAATGAAATAAGAATAATTCTACACCCGTTCCAGATATATGGAAAATTCTACAAGTCTTATCACAAAGAAGGAGGGAGGATTAGAACAGCATAAACCATGTTATCTCAGAGCTGTGGATTTATCTTAGCATGAATGTAGAAAATAAGTTGTGTCCGGAACTTTATCCTGTGAATGATACTGTTACACTGTGTGACATACTTAACAAATCAGCTTAAGTTTTGGCAAAGAATGTTTAATCCAGTGTGCAACATTTATTGTTACAGTCGATTATTATTATCATTCTTTTTCCCTTGGGTTCCTAGTGGAACATAGGGCTTCAGTAACACGCCTCCATTGCACTCTCTTCTCGTCAGTCTTTATAACCCAGCTTCACGACTCCCCACAAGCTTCCATTTCTTCTTCACATCATCTCCTCCATGTCTTTCTTGGCTCAGATGCCCAACTCATCATTTACCCTTTGGATTCCACTCGAGGGCCTGATGCGTGATGTCCCCAAACGGCCTTCTCAGTGTATGCCCAATCAATCTCCACACTATTCTTCTGCATATTTGTTCGATGATAGGTTCTCAGTTTGTTCGTTCCCAGAG